CACACACCAAAAAGCAAACTAAAACAAAATAAGTCTAGAATTCAATTCAATTCAACTCAACTCAGTAAATAAATAAGAATAATTTTTATTTGACCTTAATTATTTTATATATTGATGGGATGGATGGATTTAGTTTTTTGAATTAGAGTAGAGTTTTTTAGAAGAAAAACAGATTCTTTGAATTCTTGATATGGAAGTGATTCCAGTTTTATATGAGAAAGGATAAAAGTTTTGTTGTGACAGTTACAAAAGAATCCAGTCTAACTAATATATATATATAGTATGGAAAATGATGGCCTCGATAATACTTCATCGCCTAACTAGACCTTATGAAGAGTGGACTTGAGGAAATCCACGCTTATTTCAAACCTAGACGTGGTTGTATAGACCACATTGTCACACTACGACAGGTCCTGGAACACAGACACACATTTAGACGTCCGACAATAGTCGTGTTCCTGGACTTTAAGGCGGCATTTGACTCAGTGGATCGTAATATTCTGTGGCAGTGTCTGTCATTAAAAGGTATACCAAAGAAATACATTAACCTTATACAAGCACTCTACTCGAACACCACTGGTCGAGTGAGAGCTTATGGCGAACTGTCATCGGAACTCTTCACTTCAAGTGGTGTCCGTCAGGGATGTCCACTCTCTCCATTCTTGTTTAACTTTGTCGTAGACATCCTCTTAGAGTTAGCATTAAGCTCGTCAGATTTTTCAGGAGTAAACCTATTACCAGGTGGCTCGCTAATTGACCTAGAATATGCCGATGGCATAGTCCTACTTGGTGAAGACACTGACAAAATGCAGAGTCTTCTGACTACCGTAAGCAACAATACGAGCATGTTCGGCATGCGGTTCTCACCCTCGAAATGCAAAATGTTGCTTTAGGATCAATACACTAGAATGTTTATACATTTGACACAAATTAACAGGCAACAAAAAAAACTTGACCATAATAAGAATTACACTTGGAATTATATGTGAATAGTTCATATTCCTTATCAGATATTCAATTAGGAGAGGATAAATATTAATATTACAGAAATCATCAATGCATCACTGTTAGGCTATCATTAGAAACCTGAAGGCATTGAAAGAAGGCTGTTTTGTCCGGGTACGGGACTCATCAACAATGCGCATCCATAACTCCTACTACTTGAAGGAACCGAACCTAGGACCTTTGGTCTTGCATGCGAACACTTAATCTCTTGGCTATTGAGCCGGCATCCAACGGTGTTCATGTCTAACTCTGATCAATCTAGGGATTTTTAGCGACCCCACCCATTTGTGTTTGGTGGGTAACTGCCTACACCCGACAGGGATGAACAACTCCACTGGTCACACAGCTTCTCAGTAGAACTACGTAGAATCTCCTCACGAAGCCAGTCAACAGTGAGCAGACAGACAGATACAACACAGAACTTCGTACGTACGTACATTAGTTCAGGTCGCCATACCGCATTAGCTCAGAGACGCAATAGTCAGTCCATATCCTATAGTGGTAGCGATAGTAGAAGAAGTAATGGTAATGGAGAAGATTGGGGTATAATTCAGTGAGATACAGTTAGAAAGAAAAAGATAGATGATGAGGAATTCAGAAGGTTAGAATTTGAAAGAACACAAGGAGTGGATGCACTTGCGCCATCTCAAACGATTTTAAGCCATGTCGTTCAAAGTCTCTAACCATCGGTGACTTTCGTCTCGCGGACCCCAATCAGGTAGCCTACATCTACGAACATCACTCAGTCCACTTGTCAGTGACTTCATGGATTTGTGATATGTTTCTGTTTGGCCGCCCCTAACTTTCTTCCAACCTACTCCTACATCACAAAACATAGCTCGTCGCAGCAGTCTGTAGTTAGGCATAAGTATCACATGTCCCAACCACCTCGACTGATGAAGTTTCATTACTTCATCTATCGATCTGCCATCCTTACCTAGCAATCGCTTCCTAATGGCAGCATTACTTACTCGGCTGTCCCAGGATATACGAACTATGCTTCAGAGACACCTATGATCGAAGACAAGCAATCTACGAATGTCCTACAGTCACTAATGAGCACACTGATTAATATCATCTGTTTTAGAAAGAACGTTTTTTTTAAAATCCGTCTTTCATTTGATAAGAGAAATACGTTGCTTAAAAATAGGAAGTAAGTGTTTTTTTATCGATTGGAATACCATGTTTCAAAATCATTTTAATTACCGTCAATCGAACTTTGGTGAACCCTGTTTATGCGACGGTGGTAATGAGAAGCCAAATATGGATTCGTTTACACGAGTTTATTTCATTCAATCGTTCCCGTAGACATACATCAGGATGAAAAGTGAAAACGCAAAGCGAAGCAAAGTAAACCGGAATATGATTAGCGAACCGAATTGATTTGGCGAGGCATGACTAAGTATTCTTAGTCAGATAAAATGATCTTGACAAATAATAACTGAAGTAGGCAATTGTTAAGATCGTCACTATGTATGCTTGAAACTATTACGGGTTCACCTTAGTCGATAAACGAGAACGAGACAATGAACCAGAGTCCAAGTAGGCTACCCTAATCCGTTGACTCAAAACAGCTGACGAGAAGTCTTGATATAGCGTAGAAAGTATATTCTACTAACACCCAGCAAGACACAGTACATACAAGTACTCAAATCGCGTTTATTTATACATCACAGAAACAGCCTTGGGACAGTCACAAAAATAGCAAACTAAAATACACAGTAACCAATCACAGACAAGGATTTTCCTGGTTGGGCAATGAAATCTTAATGTCAACTGATCAGCCCATACTCGGAAACATAAAATCCGAAATTAAGGCATTTATCAAGCGAGTTCTGGGGATCTAACGCCCCCAACAGTAATGAACATACAAGCTCGAATAAAAGCAACCAAGGTTAAGAGGAAATAATAAACAAGGTTGACAGGCATGTGGATAACTCCAGAAGAATAGATTAATTAACTTTTTCCAGAAGTTAGACGGACACGCCATGTGGACACTCAACATATTTGTTAACACGCTACAGTCTAATTAAGCGTACAAATACTAATTTGATCGCTTTAGAAAAGGAAGCCATTTCTTGACAGATGACATGCATTCGTTCTTTGGAACATTTGGAACATGGTCATCAAACTTACATACTTATGTCTGTTACCCCTAGTGAAGCATTGGTGGCCGACCAGCATTCTTCAACTTATTTTGTCTGTCATTCTCCTTTCCAGTTCTATCCAACTACTACTAACGATTCTTTTCATGTCGGTTTTCAATTATCGGCGCATAGTGTTCTTCAGTTTTCCTCTTCTCCTTTGACCTTGAGGATTCATTTTTTCTATTACTACTAATACTAAGCACTAAATCTGCTATTTTAGGATTTGTTCCAATAATTTCACTTAGCTTCACCCCTAGAATATGATTGTGATGAAGTTTCGTTCTCTCAGAACTGAGTGTTTTGGTTGTGGAGCTTTCAGTGTTTTTCTTCTGAACAACATCAGCAGCAGCAGCAACACGAAGTTCAGGTAGTTCAGGAAGTGAAGTATTCGAATTTCTCCATGTGTATGGCCAATAGCTTGTTCTGTCGACCTCGATCCTGATTGGTTTTTATTGATCTTAAACCTGTCGTTGTATGCACCTTTATTTTTGATTGTATCCCCTTCTTTTGATCTATTATTCTTGATCCTATGTTTGCCTATGATTATTTCTGGAATATAGCTACTTGAAACAATGAAACATACATACCAGGTTCTATGTTACACGTTTGACTAACTGATTGACTGTTTCATTCCATTTCATACGGTTAAACAAACAAATTGAACACTAATTTCAAAAGATACATAGAACTTACTAATATATATTTATAGTCAAGATTATTAGTCAGTCAGTCAGTCAGTCAGATGCCTGACCGTAGCTGCTACCTTGACGTGGTGGTCCCGCTCGCCTATCGTGATCACCCAACCGAGCTATACTGGCTGAAACATATGTTCCTCAAGGTTCTCTATCATGCCAGGCAGGTCGATTGGAGAACGATCAGACTAAAAGCAGCTACTCAAAGTCTGAGGGCGAAGTTGTACTGCTGACTGCAGAGAGGTGTGACAGCAGTAAGGTGTTTCCCTCGGACAACCAGCATCTGCAGCGATGCTGCCTTCTCACAAGGAAGGAAGGGTTAGAAAAGGTCGACTCTAAAAATGTCACATCTCACCCTACCTCACGGATTTCCGTCTCCTTGGGTAAGGGTGCCCACTAAGGGCCTTTAAGAGCGGAGCTAATACTCAAAAACCTTTCATAAAAAGGCCGTGCGTGACCGGCCTCAATCGGTTGTCCGCTGGGCTCTGCGGTCACGCTCCCAGGTCTCTAAGACCAACACTAATCTATCTTCCATTTCAGGTCCCTCAAGAAACAACCTTCCACTGTGTGGGCAGCCGGGAAGTGACAATCGCCCTCATACCCGTAACAGCACGAGAGACCAATCTGGTCGAAACCAAAATCCTTCCAACACCCACACATACCTCTCTTCTCTCCACAATCAAGACTATTATGGGGCGGAAAATTGGAAAACCACAAAAGTCATCATCCAAAAGATACAAGTGTTTATTAAAAGTTATCTACGCAAAATACTTTGGATCTGTTGGTCAGAGACCATCAGTAACAATCTACTGTGGAGGGGGGAACAAACCAGATTCCTACAGGAGAGGAAGAAATCAAGAAGAATCACTGGAAGTAGATGGGACACAGAGTGAGGGAAGCACCCAACCGCACAACAAGACAAGCCCTCATTGGAATTCTCAAAGTCAAAGAAAAAGATAAAGGTCAAGGAACATATTACACCGAGAATGGAAACAGGCATGAATAACAGTTGGACAGAACTAGACAGGAATGCCCAGCACAGAATAGGTTGGAATGTTGGTGGGCAGCCTATGCCCCACTGGAAGTAACAGGCTCAAGTAAGTAGGTAATTAAAAATTATAATCAAGATTATCAAACTTTAGAAAATCATACTCACTTTAATTTGATCAATAAAATCCACTAATCGATATTGATCAATTGGTTTACATGGTTGAATATGCCAACAATCCCATAAAGTGAAGAATTTTCCATTTGGTAAACGTGTTCTTCTACACAGTCCTGGTTCACTAAACACCATCATTGGTAGAGCTAAATTTAAAAAACTATTTTTATGCTGTAAATAAGTTGTTGTTACGCGTTGTTCACACTGATTGATGGTGGTGATTGTTTTAGTTGGTTGATTCTCAGAACTAACGTCAACATCATCGTCATCATCATCGCCGTGGGGATTGTTGTTGATCACGACATATTTCAACAATTCTAAACAGACTAATCCAGCGACAGTAGCAGTTGTTGTCGCTATAGCTGGTACTATTCGTCCAGCGATACGTTTAACAATATGACGTGGTGTAATTGGTAGATTATACATGGTAGCACGTAAATTCTATAACAAAAAGAAATAGAGAAATCCAAAATTTATTGAAACATTTAATTTGTAGCGGCTAAAATAAAAAGATAAGTCAGTCAGTCAGTCAGATGTAACGTAGAACTTTGTACGTATGTACAGAAGTTCATGTTGCCATACCACATCAGCACAGAGATATAATTGTCAATTCAAATCTAAAAGTAGAGGAGGTAGTACGGGAATTAGAAGTAATCGGAGAGGTTACGATTGGAAGATATTATTCAAGAAGTGTGATTACATGAGAAAAGTTTAGAAAGTCAAAAGTAGAGGGGTTGAAGAATCCAGAAGATTAGGATTTGAGAGAACACAAAGAATAAATGCACCGGCGCCATTGTGAACGATTTTGAGCCATGTCATTCAAGGTCTCTAACCATCGGTTATTATCATCTCGCTGACCCCAACCAGGTAGTCGACAATTACCGACATGACTCAGTTCACTAGTCAATGACTTCATGGATTTGTGATATGTTTTGGTTTGGCCGCCCCTAACTTTCTTCCAACCTACTCCTACACTACAAAACAAAGCTCGTCGAGGCAGTCGCTGGTTAGGCATACGCAACACATGTCCCAACCACCTCAACTGATGAAGTTTCATTACTTCATCGATTGATCTGTCATTCTTACCTAGCACCCGATTCCTAATAACAGCGTTGCTCACTCGGGTGTCCCAGGATATAGGAGCAATGTTTCGAAGACATCTGTGATCGAAAACCAATAACCTACGAATATCTTTTACTCTCACTGGCTATGTTTCACAGCCATAAGGTAAGACGGAGCGAACTACTGCGCATTAAACTCGTCCTTTAGTCAGCAAACGGATATCTCGGTCTACAAGAAAGATAAAGGTGATGAGGAATGCAAGAGATTAAAATTTGAGAGAAGACAAACAATGGATGTATCTGCGCCATTGTAAATAATTTGGATTCACGTCATTCAAAGACAATTATCTCGTAGACCACAACCAGGTATTCTACAGCTACTAACATCGCTCAGTTGAATTTTCAGTGACTTCATGGATTTCTGTCATGTTTTGATTTGGCCACCCTTAGCCTTCTTCCAACCTACTCCTACACCACAAAACATAACTCGTCGAGGCAGTCGGTCATTCGTAATACAGTGCCCGACCACCTCAACTGATGAATTTTCGATACTTCATTTATCGGTTTGCTATCCTTACCTAGAACTCGTTTCCTAACAACTACATTGCTTACTCGATTGTCTCAAGATAAATGAGCAATGGTTTGAAGACACCTACAATCGAATACTAATAGCTTACAAATATCCTCTACTCTTACTGACCATGGTTTCCCACTCATGTAATAGTATGGTTTGACCGCTCCTAACTTTGTTAATCTATACCTTCACATCTGTATCAGATATTCCGTGTTTATCAATGATACTTTCTTTGATATACATTCAAGAAGGCTGCTTATTTTTTTACACTCTTCTCTTTAGGTTGTAAACATGGGATATAGGTCGCTCACTGTCGGACAGACATTTAGCCATCCCATTTTTATGTAGTTCATTAGTCTTGTTCATTGACATACATGTACACTTCTTCTCGTTTTAATTAATTTCAGATATACACAAACGCCCCGATTACTGTTTTCTTATCTGAAGTAACTGTGAACGGCAATGTGAAAGAGTTCGTGTTAACAATCTCTTATCTCGATTATCGTTTTACCTTGAAGTTTAATACTTGTCTGATTGTTAATTCATTTCAATATAAAGATTAAAACAATTCTGTTGTATGGAGTGGAAACTTCGCAAACAACCAAAACCATAATTCATAAGATGCAGGTATTTAAAAACAGTTGTTCATGTAAGATACTGATGATCTATTGGTCAGCAACAACCTACTGAGTCATGTCGGTAGATGTCGACTACCTGGTTGGCGTCCGCGAGATGATAATAACCGATGATTAGAGACCTTATGTGACATCATGGCTCAAAACCGTTTGCAATGTCGCAGGTGCATTCAATCTTTGTGTTCTTTCAAGACCTAAACTACTGAATTCCTCATCGCCCTTGCCTTTTTCTTTCAAGTTTATTTCACTAGATTCTACTTCTTGAATAATGATATCTTCAAAACCTAATCTCTCCGATTACTGCTAATACCTTTACCATCACTGCTACTATGGGATTTGAATTGACAATTACATCTCTGTGCTAATGTGGTATGTCAACTTGAACTGATGTATGTACGTACGTACGAAGTTCTACGTTGCTGTTGGTTGACAACCTACTGAGAACAAACCAAATTTTAACTAAGAAAGAAATTCCTAGAGATGGATAGGATACACACATTGTAGAAATCATCCAACTGTGTATCACAACGCAAGTACTAACCTGGAATCCTCACAAACAAAGAACACATTGAGTCAACTACCGGAGGAAGACAATGAAAAGAATGCATAGCATTTGACAAAAATTAAAAACGAGAGTTCAAGATAGAATTTCTTCAAGACTTCTAGTCAACAACGGCCTATACTCCATGAAGAGTAACAGGCGTGGTGAGTAAGTAGCTGATTGTTAATTCACTACACTCCAGACTCCACAATCGCCATACACTCTCCTCAAGCATACAAATACATAAAGAAAAAAGCAAAATTCTCCGATGCAACACAACATGCACCAACCAACCAAATCACTCTTGATGGAAATGCCTTGGAGGACGTTAACACCTTCACATATCTGGGAAGCATCATCGACAATCAAGGTGAATCCGATGCAGATGTGAGGGCGCGGATTGACAAAGCAAGGGCTGCATTTCTACAGTTGAAAAATATCTGGAACTCCAAACAACTTTCAACCAAAATCAAAATCAAGATTTTCAATACAAATGTCAAGACAGTTCTACTGTATGGAGTGGAAACATGGAGAACTAAGAAAGCCATCATCCAGAAGATACAAGTGTTTATTAACAGTTGTCTACACAAAATATTTCGGATTCGTTGGCCAGACACCATCAGCAACAACGAACTTTGGGAGAGAACAAACCAGATTCCAGTGGGGGAGGAAATCAGGAAGAAGCGGTGTAAGTGGATAGGACACACACTACGAAAAGCACCGAACTGCGTCACGAGACAAGCCCTCACATGGAACCCTGAAGGTCAAAGGAAAAGAGGAAGGCCAAGGAACACATTATGCCGAGAAATAGAGAAGGATATGAGAGGAATGAACAAACATTGGACAGAACTGGAGAGGGAAGCCCAGGACAGAGTTGGTTGGAGAAAACTGGTGGGCGGCCTATGCTCCATTAAGGATAACAGGCGTAAGTACGTAAGTAAGTAAGTAATACATAAACCACCTACCAAAGTCTGAATCTTATAAACGTACTAACAATGCATTTTATTCTAAAACCTAGACTAATCTTTCATTAAAAAACCAGTACATTCAAATGTCACATTTATCTTATGTTGTATGATTTATTCATCATATTTGTGTATATGCATATATGATGATTCACATAGTCACATTGACTCTACACATCACATGAACACATGTGAAAATCATGTGATCAATGGTTTTTCAATGATACATTTCGTCCTTGTTGTTTTTATTCATCATTCCACTCATTCACTACACTTTATCTAATAAAAGCCATTCATGCATATTTATGCAATAATACATGTGTGTGTGTGTTTGTGTATATATAAATACCTTTGTTTTGTTTAAATTATTCAAGTCTAATTATATTCACCTTATGATGATCTATATCATATTACGTAACATGAAGTTTGAATAAAAAAGACAAACTGATGCGCGAGTGAGTGATTTATTGATTATGGCGATGATTGAGTTTCAGTTGAAATTATAAGATCGATCATTTGTTTGAGCAGCGTTAAAAAATCTGGATGGTTGTGGATGTGTGCATTGTTGATGAGGATAAAATGGCCATCGTTTAGTGGTGCTACCAAGTGTTCTAATGATAGTCTAACACATTGATCGTTAAATGAATTTCATTTTGAAGGATGCTTTAATGATCCTAGGTCCATGAGATTCCCATCCTATCAGTGCCTTTTGTGCATGTTTGGACAGCATCAGTGCAACTCCTTGTGTATGTGAAGCGTTTTCCTCTTCATGACCAGAGTATAACAGCAGTTCCCCTGAAGCTAGTCTCAGTTGTCCTACCTGTGTCCAATGCGTTTCACTGATACCGAGCACCTCGAGGTTGTATCTTTTCATTTCTGCCGCAACGTGAAATAGTCTTCCAGTCTCCCACAATGTACGAACGTTCCATGTACCTAAAGAATGGTTGCTCTGGTTGTCAGAAGAGGTATCGACCCCGTGACTTCCGAGGGAACTCGGCTTTCATCACGCGACGTCATAATTCTTCCTCCAACTCCCAGGGCAGAGTTAAAATCGTTTGAATTAGTTTTTCTGGTTAGCGTTTTTTTTGGCAAGTTCGTTTTAGTTGGAATGGGATCGCCATCCCCATGTCCAACCCTCCTTCTTTACCCGGGCTATGGACCGGCAACTTTAAGGAAGTAGCTGAGATTTATTAATGACATACTGATTGAAAACGGCTACTCCAGTGATGATATTTACTCACGCGAAGGATAAATTACCTGAATTGGCCTCCTCAATGTGCATTTATAAATTTAGCTACTCCTGTGGAAATAGCGATATTGAGCGTACTATTACCAGGTAAGTATAACAACGAATCAGTGAACATCTTACAGTATGGTTTGAAAAGGGCCTGACTTATTTACGCCCGTTACACATAATGGAGAATAGGCCGCCAACCAGCAAATTATTTTTGTAATTAGCAATCTTTTTACTTTAACAAGTTGGATTTCTACGGGATGGGGTCACTAAACCCATGGCCCAATCCTCCTCCTTTGTCAGGGGTTAGGAGCAAAAATAACCCTAGAAGAGCTGTAGGTGGAGCTTTGAAAAACACCAGCTGAAACCAATATATATCTCTAGCTTGACACACCTGATTGATAAAGGTTATCATATAAACAAAACTGAAT